CATCCATCCATCCATCCATCCATACATCCATCCATGTATCCATCCATCCATCCATCCATCCATCCATCCATCCATCCATGTATCCATCCATCCATCCATCCATCCACCCATCTTCAGCTTGTTTTAAAGGAAGGTCATGTGTGAAGTGTCTTGAACCTGGTCTACATGAGTCAGGTCCTTTGTCTACTGCAAAGAGCAGAAGATAGTGAGAAGATGGTGGCTGTCAAACTGGATGGTCTAGCCTTCAGCTCTATTCCTGCCCTTGTATTTTTTACCCTTTCAGTCTTGTCCAGTGTTTGGTGTCATTAATTACAGTCTGTTAGCAAAATATATCATGAACCACTGGATAAACTACTGAAACTTGCAGAAAGTAATTATTGGATCTACATCTGCTTAACTTCTAGAGTTAATCAGATTCAAGACGGCCACCACAGCCTACTGACCTTATAAAACACTAAAACAATAACTATCATTAAATGATCTAGTTTTGTGTGGTTGTAGCTGAGTCACTCTTTGAGCTTAAAATAGATGAATTACCTGTTAGTAGATGGATTTTAATGAATCTTTTATAAATTTATCATTGAATATACATTTAAAACTGATTAACTTTTGAGTGAAACTGTCAAATGTCAACACTTTATTCTGTTTTTCAGTCATTTTTGCTGTGTTCTTCTTTTTATTTCTGTCAGTGTTATGTTTGTTTTCTCAGCCATTTGTAACCTGGTGACTGTAGTTTTCTTTTAGCAGTTCTGTCTTGTGGTTTTACTCATGCATTAGCTGTTTATAATTAACACACCAGCTCCCATTTACTAACAACCCCACTCAGTACTTTCCTTTTATGTTCAGCCACATAAACTCTGCAACTCCTGTTTCTTTTCTTTTCATTTTTTTATTATTTAACCTGCCTGCCTGTCTGTCACCAGCTTTTCTTTATCCCAACAAACACTATGGTTCAACAATATCCACTTATTCTTCAGGGAGTATCGAATTCTCTTGTCTTTGTTCTCTGGTGGAGCTTACTGAATGGACTGCTCAGATATGGTGGCATCTCTTTGGGCTGTATACCACCAGCTTTAACTTAGGAGTCTCCAAAATGTCTCAAAACACTCACAGGGTCCCGTGATTTTCTGGAGTCCCAGAGGATCACTTTCACTTGAATGCTCAACCTGTGTGACAAATTTTCTCTTATAATAGTCGCAGACTTGTGAGCATTTTGTAACCCCTCCCAGTTTAGTTTCGATAATTCTTGAACACTAGAGCTGTGCTCTGACAACACTGGAGATCTCCTCTGTCACAAAACATTTGAGTGTACATGGCTGTTTAGGCCTAAAAACCATGCAGACTATAAATAACCATTAAAAAACGACCAAATCTGCCCATCAAAATGATGGAGGACAACAGAGCTGCTTCATGGAAGAAGAACCTCAGCTTAGCCTGTTAGCTTTAGCGCCAACGTTATATTGATATATATGTGTGTGTATTAGCTCGGCGCTAGCACAAAAGCTAACAAGTTAAACTCAGGTCCTCCATCTACATTTTCAGTTACAGACTGAGTCATTTCTACCTTCTTTTCTCTGTCAACGCTCTCTGGTTTCATTTAAAAGAGTCAATTGTCAGGTATAGCTCGCTAGCAGCCTCGCACCGAGGACCTATCCATGTCATCATTTACCCAGAATGCTTTGTGTGTAAATAAAATGGCCCCGTCCATGTAATATATTTTTAAAATTTTAGTTTAAAGATTATAAAATTTGAATAGCTTACGATATTTTTACAGTCTTTATTTTACAGTTAAAATATATGTTTATCAAATAAACTCTAATGTTACAACTAATCATGGATCCCTTTAAAAGTAAGGAGCGTTAAAAGGGAGTTTTTCCTTTCTACTGTCACCAATGTGCTGCTCAGGATGAGAGACTAAGTGAAGATTCAGCACAATCTGCTGGCTTCATTAGACTGTTTTTTTGTACAGTGCCCTGAGACAATGTTGGTTGTGACTTGGTGCTATATAAATAAACTGAAATGAAGTTTTATACAATTTTTAGTCGTGCTTATTACTTGAGGTCACACAGCACCAGTGAAGTGATAATGTACAAACACTACAGGATCAATCTAAAGGGAATTCATTTGTTAGAGTATCTGAACATGTTGCTGTTTATAACAGAGGTTGCTTGAGTTTAGGCACTTCTCTGAGCACCACTGGATTTGTAGGAAAATAAAAGATCAAACCAGACAGAATCAATCCAGATTTGGTTATAGGAACATGTTCCCTCCGCTAAATACAGGGGAAGTGTGGAGTGTGTTAAATATGGAGACAAGAATGTAAATATATTATTATATTAAATATTAAGAACCAAACAAAAAGAAAATGTCAGGACTGAAGTTAACACATACTGTATTTAAGACCTGAGGGCTTCCTGGAAAAAACAAAAGTAGTGTTTTTAATGTTGAGCTTAACTAAGTGTCAGTGTTTCACACAGCTCTGAGGAGGATATATGGAAACATTTAAGCTGCTTTTAATGAACCTGCTCTGTCTTAATGCGCTCCATACAGAATGCATATCAAATTCAGCTCTCCGAGGACATTATTAGTAACCAGAACATCAAAGGCCGATCTAATATGCTGCTGCACGCTGTTGTGCTTTACGTGCACGAGGTGGTCCGTGCTGTTACCTCTCACACGGCACTTTGATGTGGAACAACTGAAATATGCTGTGACACTGCTCAGGCTGGGGGGAGCAAAAATAAAATAGAAATAAACTTCCCTGAAAGTTGAGCAATCCACAAATAGATAAACAACATCAGGGCTTGATGAAGAGGTGGGTGGGGAGGCTCGTGACCCTTCTCGGAACAGTTCAATGTCCCGAAAGCAACGATGAACCTTGTGTGAGTGTTTAATTAGACCTGTTGGCCAGAAAACATTTGGTTTTCATCAGCGCCCTCCCCCCGTCACCACTGCCATGCAGCTACACCGAGCCTTCCTCCGCTGAAGACCACAAAGACCCTGATCAGTACAGATTAACAGCCAAGAGTTAGGAAACAGCTCCTCAGTGCTGTCTTACTGTGTAACATGTAGTAATCTTTAGTCCCTGAGGGTCGAGCCACCAGAGAGCGTACGCTTTTCAGAACACCATGTGTACTTAAAACACATCTTGTAACTCTGCACTCTGGAATCAATCATTAAAACAACCTGCTTCCACATGAAATACGTCTGTTCCTGGTGATAAATTGCAGCGTGGAATGTATACAGTGGGTATGCATTATACACAGAACACTATAGTGTAAATACACTTCCACTCACATGGCAAAATAAGCTCAGGTTTCCTCCGCAAAGGTGAATCACTTCTGAGGCTAATAACTGACAGAAACTAGGTGTTTGCCAGCACTGCATTTGTCATGGCAAAATAAATGAGAAATAAATGATTTTTCATTTTTTCTACTCATGAAGGAAAAACTAAAATAGGTTTTGGATTAAAAACAAATTTCTAATAACAGTGAAGAGCTCCAATTCACTAAAGTCAACAATAACAAAATAAAAGGCAGCCGTGAGCCCGGAGTATTAGTCATTCCTGACAGTAAGAGGCAATATAATCAGAAAACAGGCGAAATGCTGCCAAAACATCTGCCAGCGAGGGCCTCACGGGCAGAACGGACAAAACCTTCCTTTCTCTGTACAAAAATATTTACTTAGCCGGACCAGTCGCTTCCTACTGCTCGTAGAGATTAAGGCAATAAAATACACAAACAGAGCGAGACTGAGCCGAAGCAGCTCGCAGGTTCTAATAATATCCGGGGCGATCGACCTGGAAGCGACTAACCTTACTCAGCTCTTCCAGCGCACACCGCCCGGCTCTGCTGAGGCACACGCTCACACTGCCAGCTGTCCGCAGGGGTCCATCCCGTGCTGTGGGTGTGACGCCGCCTTAAGTTCTCCGGTCGCGTGTTTAAAACCCATCAGCAGGTTCTCCACCAGTAGCCAAGGGCCGTCAGGCAATAAACAATAAACCTCTGATCGCAGAGCGCCTTTAATAATTAAGGGAAAGGATAGGGTGGCTGGTAATGTCACTAATGCATGGATAAACAAATGGTCGTGTTGTAGCACGGAGGGGAAGTATCAGCGGAAGAAGTGTCAGAGAAGCTGGAAAATAGGACATTTTATCCCCCGTGTACTCAGGTGATATTTTTCCACCTTGGCATCATGAACAGAAAAGCTCATTCTCAAAACAGATACTCCTTTTCTAATTATCCCATCCACCTCCCATCGGCCTATTATTGAATATTGGGCAATCTTTCCCTCAATGAAAGTCTTAAATAATACTGTAGAGCTCTTATTTGCTGATATAATTTTTTTTTATTTTAGATGTATATGCAGGGCTCTCAACTCTTGATCTGGGCTTGGAGTGAGATTTTGAGCCGCTGACTATTGTTGCCAACTCCTCACTAATATAAGTTGCTTTTAGCTGCCTTAAAAGACATTAAGTTGATAAATGATGTCATCATTTACATAGTTGGACATTTGCAATAATAGGTGTAGGGTATTTCAAAGTTG